ATTATACAAAGGCCTCTTGGGGTTTTCTGCTTTAAAAGATCACATGCAAAATGCTGTGGTAACTTTTGTTCAAGAAAAAATAACCATGAATATTGAAATAAGTTTTGGACATCAGCTTTCACAACTGTCTGAATTGTGTTTTTGTCTATAGGGTTAAAGAACAAACGGCATTATTGCACTATTTTGCATCTATATTGTTCTGAAAAAATGATCATTATTTATAAGGCTAAGGTTCGTTTAGATGGAATACTATACATATCTTAAAAAAGATTCATTCAGTTTAGCAAAGGGGAAAAACCTTCGCATATCCACTTCACAAGTCAGGTGTGTGGGAGAGCAATGTGTCCATCAAAGACTTCAAGATAAACTCCCGCACACTGTCTAACTTGAAAACTTGTTTCGGTACTTGTTTCGGTACTTGTTTCGGTACTATCCCTTCATCAGGCAAAAAGTTTAAGTTAAGTATAGTTATTATCTTTTTTTTATCTTTATCTTTCATTGATTAGTACTACTGTGAAGACAGCTGAAGTTTTGCAAAGACAAGTTTCCCAAGGGGGACAAAAAAGTTATTCCTACCACACCGCACCGCACTGCACCACATCCCATTGCATTGTTTCATATCATATCATTGGATCTAATGTTAACATATCTTAATTTGCCCTGGCTTGCTTAACACCAATAATAAATAGTTTGATTCCAACATAAAATAATAAAAAAATGTTGTGCAGCACTTTCTTCTTTCCTTAGCACCATGTTTTGAACATACTGTGGGTGAGTTTCTATGAGCTATGACACCTGTTTTGTAGTCTTCTGAAATGTTTTCTCCAGGAACTTCTCACCAGCAGCATGTGAATGAACCCACCACGTGATCATGCGATGCAGACATGTTAACTGCATGTGAAACAGCTCGTCTGCTGATTTGCACACCAGGAATTAGGTGCAATAACTCACAGAGGTGTCTGTCTCCATCTACAGATTGATCCTCATCCTGTGAGCCCAGTGAGTCACGTTGCACCATAGTGGCTCCACCACAGTACTGTCCTGGTTTCATTCTGTCGAATAATTATATAATTTTCAACTGGAACAGCAGGGTGACCTCCAGCAACTAGTTTAGGGAGGAAGAGAGATAAGAAAGGGGACAGGAGCGACAGAGAATGAACAAGAAGCACTACAGAAATAGCACAGCTGTCCTTGGGAGACGACTCAAAAAAGGGTTTTGTGGATATAAATATCTTTTAGTAGGTCGCCATGACCGGACTCTAACCCAGTGATGGCTGCAGACTGCCGTCACAAAACTTTGTTCTTTGTTGGATGAATACAGCAGCAGTTTTGGGAGTCGAGGGGACAAACATGACATGACTTGCATATTTCATATCTGTCACTTGGCAAACAGAGATGCCGATATCTGCTGTTTTATGGCTTTAACAGAATGGGTTGAGTCAATAGTGAGAATAGATGCTGTACCTTTAAATCAATCAACCGCATCCCTCCTCCCTTGAGATCTATGCATTCATCAAACGCTATAGTGATTTAAAATAGTAAACTGTACTTATGGATTTTCTGTCAATGCCGATAAAGAAGGGAACCAGGGCGTCTCTTTTATGTTTAAGAATCAGGAATAATCAATAGAGTTGTTGCAACCAATTCAAAATGTAGCTTTCGTTTGAGACGAATGGGATGTGATGTTTATCTGCAATAGCAAAGAAAGAATTCCATCACTGGCCAAATTAGGAAGAAGTGTTGCTATCTGAACATCAGAGGCGTTGCGAATAAGGAAACAACAGAGCCAGGCAGCCTTATATGGAAGACACACATCTTTAGAAAAATATGTAGCAGGTTAAGATTAATTCTACTCCTTACAACAAGGGTCCAAGCAAAGTGTTCAACCCAGATATAACAGCATCTACAAAACTTCTTCTATTAGCTTTATAACTTTTGTTCTTTGAAAAAGGTTTACATTTTATATCAGAGTGAACAAATTTTGTATGTAACAGGGCCAGTCTTTACTGTGCTGCCAAAGTAAACTCTTTGTGTGCTTCTTTAAGGTTGTGTCCGTCCCTGCTTCAGACACTTCAGGTCAGAACATGGACCCCCTCAATTACGTGGGATTGGAGCCATGTGATTCAGCTTTAAGGTTGGAAATATCGGTCACACACAGACATATTGTGCTGGGTGGGGGGAAAAGTATAGAGATCATGTCCAACAGGCTGTGAAGCTTTACAGTCACAGTAACTTTAGCAAACACAAGCCCCCATCTCCACCCTGATCACCGCACGCACTGATGATGACCCCCACCCACCGAGGTCCCGTCTATAGTGAGCAGACAGTGAGGGGGTTTAGCTCAAACTGCTGCAATCTGCAGAAAGTTCTGTGCTGGACACACTCTGGCAGCCAGCAGCAGCCTTATATCCTGCGCTCAGCTCTTTCCCTTTGTCACGGAGGATTGTGGATGAGCTCTCTGCAGGGGTGTGGGTCTGTGAGCAGGGGTGGGGACAGGGGCCGGGGGCGTAAACAGGTTGTGGGTATGTGTGCCATCAATGCTGACACACATACGCGCAGCTCAAATGAGTTATTACTGATACCCCGGGGCTTTATTTTAGCATTTACACTACTGGGAAGCATCTGCACAAAGACACTGGTTTGTCTTACTCTTTTGTGAATTAAATTGTTAATCCACCAAAACGTTTGAGTTTATAACGTTCTAAAAAGAAAAGTAGGACCTGACCTATTTGAATCTGTTTAAGGTCTTTTGCAGAGATTTTAAATTTTAAATAAGAGCAAATGGGGTAAATACAAGTTTAGATATATTTTTTTGTAGAAATATTTATATTAGAATGTATCATATCATATAGATAAATAGCAGAACCAATATAAATGTAAAACAGAGTATCGTCAGCATATACATTAAGCTTATAAATGCAGAAATACAGTACAAAAAGTTATCAGTCTTAGTGTTGGGTTTAAGTTATATATAGTCTGAATATATCATTTTATATGGAGAGTTGGAGAGTTTTTTATTTAGTCTTGCATACTGGTTATCAAATGTGTTGTAGTACCTCCAAATAAAGTCCACTGTGCATCTGGTTTATGCCCTTAATTATATTTTGAATTCTGTCCATTTCAGTGAAAAGATAACAAACTTTTCATCAGGTTTCCTAATTTATATGACAGTGACACTGGCTTGAGGTTATACCACCGTGTAAGCTTTCCATCAAAACAGGGACATTGGAAAGAATAACAGCTTCTTAATGACCCATCATCAGAGACACAACCGCGTGTAATTTGAATACATTTAATCAGAGAGGATTTTTTCTCTCTCTCACCCCGGGTTATTTAGAATCTAACAATGATATTTGAATCCAAACCAAAATCAAACGTGTTGGTCCAAATAATAACTGACCCAGGACTCTGATGAACTCTGCATGTGGCACATGGCCCCCTTTTTTGAAATATTTATAGCCCCCTCTTTTTCCTTAATTCAGCTGTCCATCAACCCTGAGTAAAAAGAGTGTGTTGAGTCAGGAGCTTACACAGCATGTCAACATTTTTGAGCAGTTTCAAATGTTCTCAAATATGTTGATAGTGCAAATCAATAGCCCCATTGAAGTTGTAGCTGTGGTTGAAAATATCCGGCGCACTGGGGTGGCTTCAACTGCAATAATACATTCACAGCGAAAATGCAAAATACTGGAACGGCACTAACAACACAGCAGAGCTTTTTCATTACCACTAACTGCTTATAATGAGTAGCATGCTAGTTTCCAAACTGCTCAGGCCTCCCTGTGAGACCCATCATCCCATAAAACCCTCACCACTACCACTTTGTTGGTTCAGCTACACCCATGCTCATAGAAACACACCCACCGGTGAGATGGAAACAGTGCAGAAGAAAAACACACAAAAAAAAAAAAACTGATTTAATGTAGGAGTAAAAGGTGTCTGGTGCCTGCCTAGAGGCCAACAGCAACAACCTATCAAGTCTCTCTTTTTTTTTAATTGATGCATATCAAACCACTGCTGACAACACTACACTGTGCAGTAAAGAGAATATGGGGAACACCCACCCTCTCAAGGAGGGTCTTTGCATGTGGAACTTATGAATAACCCAGATCTTGATGACTTGCTTGAGGTCACACACCAGGCAGGTGCTGCATGGTGTCTCAGAAATAATTTAGTGATCTGCAGTCCTTAAATAAAAAAGCTTAATGGACATTGAAACGGTGTTAAAGAAATTTTGATTTCTTGAAGTTGTTTTTTGACTCAATAAATTGCCTGTATGCTGGTATGTTTCAATGGCTTCAATGGTAAGGCAATGTGTGTTTAAAACAGTGAATATTGGGAGAGTATCATCCTACACTAATTCCATTTCTTTGAATATATATTATCACCAGATTCAAAGGAAGGTAGACCAAATAATGGTAAAATGCGAATCTTTGAGCGCCATAGAAATGCTGTATTGAGCTGCTACCCCCCATTTAGATTCACAGTGATGCATTCAGTGTACGTTTTCTATGCTTGCATTGGCATATTCTCAATGTGCTACTTCCGGATTACGAGGCTGCAAAATCATTTCCAGAAAGCTTTATTCAAATACAAAAAACGGCATACTGTGTGAACGGTTTCAGTTTTAGCACCAGGGACAGCACCAGATGCACGCTCCTCTCAGTAATTGTGCATTTATTGTTGAGAATAGTGTGCACGGTGTTTCCCATGTGACTGTGAAGGGTCAACACCCACCCACCCACACACCCACTCTCCTACCCACCACCACCTCAATCACCCACCCACACCCACACCCACACCCCCCCACAACGCACACCCCTAACTACCACCACCACGTCCACTTTTCTTTCTTCTCCCTGTTGAACGGGAGTAACGCTACAGGGGAGCGGGAGTGAGCGAAGGTACGCACGGCCCTTTCGGATGCTTGGCCGCGGGGAGAAAGAAGAAGAAGAAGCTGCTGCTGCGGATATCCGTCTTGTATACCTGCCTTCTAGAAAAAAAAAAAAAAGGGACTCCTCTCGTCGCCTGTTTTCTTCTTCTTCTTCTTCTTACCCGCTGAACGTTTTTGAATGAAAGCTAAGATAACCGGCTCGGTTTCGTAACACGCTGCACCGGTAGCAGCGCGGAGGAAAAATACATGTTTTTTTTTTTTTGTTGTTTTTTTTTTCCGAGGATGCGGATTTGACGGAAAGACGATATGAGAGTCACCTGGGATTTTGTTTTTTAAATGGTTAAATTTTTTTTTTGAATTAGCGCGTCGTTAGCAACGGAAGATACCTTTCATGTCTGGTGAAATACTGTCGTTATAGTAACAAGAACGGCCTTTGATGTCTGGCGAAATACTGTCGTTATAGTGACAAGAACGACACCTTCTGCTGCAGGAGACAAAATAAAGGGTAAGCGCGCATTTTGGTTGTATTGCTGTGGTTGAAATGGACCACGTATGTTAAATTCTGGGTTTGTTAGCCGGCTGCAGGAGAAGTGTGTGTGTGTGTGTGTGTGTGTGTGTGTGACTGCAGTGCCTCATGTTAGTTACTGGGCTCCATCTCTCTTGTGTGTCTGTCTCTTCTTGCCTTTGTTTGAATCGATGTCAAACGCAGCCACATTGTATCTGCGCGTTTTGTAACAAGCAGCCTGTGGATCTCTGATTCATCATCTGCTAGGACACCAAACAAGCCTTGTTGCCTTCCTGCTATCCAGGCTATTATTTTTCCCCTCTCACCAAGATGTAGTTTTGTGCAGGCATCTTGTAAAGCTGCATTTTATCCCCCCCCCCCTTTCGACATTGTGGGCTGTTGTGTGGTTATGTTATGATTGGAGTGTAGGACTGAGGTTTATAGCCTACTGCGTGCCTGGCCTATACCGTGAGTCATAGCAAACATGCCATCAGGTAAGAAAAAAAAAACCCCATGAGAAAGTGCACTTAATTCAGAAAAGAAATGCTTGTGAACACGTTGTTTGGAAATGTGCGAAATGCGTTTTGATGTGGAGCCCTTAAATATGCAAGTATTGGGGGCTGAGTTTGATAGCCACGTGTAGAGGAGGCTCTGAGAATGAAATGACCCAGAAACATCAGCCCATTGTTAATTTATTATCGTGACTGAAAAGGAAAACACATGGGCGTGTATATTAATGAATTCAAATTTGAATCATCATGCTTGATTAGCTGTTTGAAATGTCATTTTTATTTTTACTTTATTTTTTTGCATACCATGAATTGCAGGTGCATCTATGGCTAAAAGAAGTTATTGTAAATTGGTGTTCCAGGATGGTTAATTGTTTTGGGATAATTTGGCAAACTGAAGAAGAGATCAGAGAAAGGATGCTTAACAAGGATACACTAAAGAATAAGAGTGAATATCAGATAAGGAGTAGTGTATCACATTGGCTTTTACAAGGAGACAGCCCCTCACATGCGGTGTTGACTGACCTTTGCCTGTAAAAACGTCTCTGTTGATTGCATTTAGCTGATGTTCACTGATAGATCCTCAAACCTCTCAATGCTCACTACAGTGTAAGAGCTTTGACTTTTTTGGTTGAACCAAATGGCCTCTTCATTACAGGATACAGGCTACAGCCATTACTACACAATATGTCAGCAGTGCTCAACACATCACAGGTTTTCAGATGGCTTTATATTCGGTGACTCATTTCAGTGACTGTCTTCTCGAAGATGGTGTAGAAAGCAGGCGGTTCATTCTGTTACGCTTGAAAATTGTATCGCATGTATCGTTTGACCATTTCCGCAATTGCGAGTAATACGTTCATGTTTATAATTCTAGCTTGATTACAACAGAAAGCCACCACTTGTTTGGTATCCACATCGATTCATTTTCATTTTAAGGATACCATATCTTACCTTACATACAAATTAGACTGAATTCTCTTCAAAAACAAACACGATACAATAGTCATGCCTACAAAATGTAAGCCATGTCTTCAATCCGATGGAACCAATACAGAGCTAATCCATCTGGTAACTGAAGACATTACCCGTTAAGTTTTCTTTATTGAAATTATTACATAAAGTAACACCACATTCCCTTTGAAGGCTTCCATTTTTAATGGAGCTGAGCAGGGTTACCACCAGAGGGCGACATGATGGCCTTTCCCTCTGTTCATCTAGTTGCAGTGATGCTCATGAAGCATTGTCTGCAGGCCACAGACAACATGCTAAATAATTAACGATCTTCTCCCCTTGGAGCTGTCGCTGAAATCCTGCCTCAGAGGCCTGCTGTGATATGACTAAACAACCAAGGTGAAAATAACGCTGTGTAATTGTGCATTAAGACACACTGTGTTCTTGGAATAATTCATGGGCCATTGAGCTGTTCTTGTGTTTTCTTTGTCTTGGCAGGTTAGATGGACGAACTGACACACACAGACACATGCGCGCACACACACAAACCTGAGCCTGTACCTAGTACAAATGCATTTTTGCATGTATGGTATAAACTTGGAGATAATATACAGTCCATTCTGTCTGTATCAGCAGTGCCATCCCCTGATCTGAGTATTGTTGTTCTGTCTGTCAAATCCATATGTTAGCAAGTAAGAATACAAATTCAAACTGTGTGTTCTACAAAATATGTGTATCAATCATAGCTTGACAAGAAGAGAGCTTATTTGCAGGACAAGTGTCGTATTTGATAAAGATTGGAACATCTCAAATTATGACGACATCCTGTTTATTTGACAAATGGTTGGTTGGTGGTTTGTTGCTCATAGAATACTTGTAAGATCATACCATGTTATTGTGTTAAGGTCTGCAGCAGGTAAAACTGAATGGCTTTTGATGGAGTGACAGAGTGGTTGGGATGTTAGATGGATGAGACATGGCTGTTGGCTGGCGAGATGGACAGCGTTCAACAATGGACTTGGGCTGTGAATGTGGGCCCCCCATAGTGCTGATTCTCAAAATCCCTCTTGAACAAGCTTTTTTTCCAGTTCCTGCCATTCACACTTCTATTGTGCTGCAGTGAACCGTGACAGCCACCCAGCCTTGTGTAAGTAGTGCTGCTTTCTGATGTGCAGTTTTTATGTGTCTTCACAGTTTTTCCAGTCTTAATTGTAAAACATCATCAAAACTGCAGTGAAGAGTTGACTTTGGCTAGTTATTGATATGTTTTCTGCAACAATGAATTAAATCGTTCAAATACTGTCTTGGCAAGTGAAAAAAAAAGCCTGAATGCTTCTGCACAAGTCGTTTAGCAGAAGCACAACACTTGTGCGCTCGTGCTGTGTTACAAGGTCAGAAAGTGACACTTGTTCTACAAGAGCTGTAACTTAACAAAAACACACAAAGCATGGATAAAACAAATATATGGAAGAGACTGAGTGTGGTCTTGATTTTTACAATATTTATTATGCTGTAAAATTTGTTTTTGTAGGGGACTTTTTTGAGTTTCTGAAATATTTTGATATAAATATATTAAGTTTGATCACATTGTACTGTATATAAACATAGATGTAGTCTCAGTGATGTCATCCATTGGTATCTGAAGCAGATTTTTAAAGACAATCGGTGAAAATCACCCTATATTGGAAATGAAAACTAATTCTTGGGCAGCCTTGTAACATGCCAGACCGAGAGCTGGAGCTGAGGCAGGCTTTAAGTCTCCGGACAAACAGATACGTGACCGCATGTCAGTCAAATCAGCCACGCCGCCCCCCCTTATGAATAACTCTTAACCTTCGTAAAATCAAAACAGATGAGTTACAACAAATCTCAACCTCCGTACACAGCGTTTGCTGAGAAAGAAATGAGCGTTTCAGACCAAATTCCTTAAAAAAACAAGGACTGTAAAAAAATTCAGCTGTAAAAATGTTGTCAATTTTGAATGTGTATGATCCAGGCTTTTGCAGCGAGCCTCAAAATGACACATGAAAAAAAGTGCAGGCTTTGCACTTCTGCACTGGCTTCATTTTTCAACACCAGAAATTGCAGCTTGGCCAAAACACATTGGTTTTTTGATTATAAGACTGATGCAGTTTTTAAATTTGCTGTTAGGAAGTTGACATTCCAGTCATTCGGACACTCCAGTGTGTTATCTGGATCTTAAAAAGTAGGTCATAAGTATGAATATTACAGCATCTTTTCAACAAAGTGATGCCGAGACATAGCATTTTTTGTGCAACATAAGATTTATTTCATCTTGAAACCAACTGAGACCAATTAAACTGGAGAAATGTCCTGAAAACATAAAATATGCATCGGTTTTTTGGAGAGCTTTGTCATTAATGTAAATATCAAAAATCAACTTGCATCTATCATTAAACTTTGGCCAATTAGCAAAGTGGATTGAAAGGTATTTAAGTGCTTTGATGGCAGTTACAGTCAGCTTTTATGATTATATTACGCTAATATAAAAGTGAGTAAGATAATGTCACATACTCAGTAGTAAATTAGGAGGAAAAGCCACTCATCAATTTTTAATAATCAGAAAGAAGAGGGGCGGCAAGAAAGAGGGCATTACAGGGTGACATATTCAACCATGTGGAAAACCTGCAGTTGTCAGATGTATATTTATGGCACCTAATGCACTTCAATAGAAATGTTACTATATGTTCTTTACCAAATAAAAATAGCAGGTCATAGAAAGGACTTTGTTTTAAAGCCAGTGCCCAGTGCGTGGGCAGGCTTTTCATGCAGAGGCAGAAACTCTGTGCAGTTGTTGCACATGTGCACCACAGGCTCACAGTGTTGCCACCCCCGCAGGAATCTGAGAGTAAAATCTCCCTGCCAATTCAGCATGGGGCTATGTTAAGCAATTCCAACATTTCTAATATTGATCCGGGCAGTATTTGACTCACAAAAAGGGAAGTGTTTGCTTTTCACTAGAGCCTGAGTGTTATGGACTCTATGAGCCGATACAAACACCAATATTAGAAAGTGGGAAAAAAAATGAATGTTTGCTTACATGGCAGCAAAAAAAAATTCCACGCAGATGGATTTATTTCTTATTGGAATTTGGAAGCTTAGTTATTCTAAAGATTGCTTTCTCAAACAAAACAAAAAACTCTGCTGGGCAAACTGTGATGACATTTCTAAATGAACTTAAGAAAACGTGAATGTTAAAGTTGATTTTCCATTAATAGTGCGGTACTGACTGATGAAATCATTCTACAGTCAAATTGGTCAGGCTTTATTTAGCAGCTCTCAACACAATGTAACTGTCAATGAGCTCAGTTTGATCCTTTCTGGGGTTAATTGGTAAGGGATGTTTCTTGGTGACTTATTTCCTTGTCGGTTAAAAGACTATTAAAATTTAGACTGAACAACGAGTGATGAAATCATTCTACAGTCAAATTGGTCAGGCTTTATTTAGCAGCTCTCAACACAATGTAACTGTCAATGAGCTCAGTTTGATCCTTTCTGGGGTTAATTGGTAAGGGA